ACAGCTCAGTGGGAAGTCTGGGCTGCGAACATCTGTAGTGGACTTGCTAGGGCTCATTATTAAAACGTCATGGTGTTTCAAGGTTGGTCCCACGGTAAATGTCAGAGCTGCACGGGCGCGGGATGCTGGCCCCGCTGACGGCCAGCTTGGGAGTGAGGTGGTGGGAAGGAAAGGGTGAAAGTCATTTTAAGAGTCACGCAAGCTACAGTAATCAGATGTCAGCAATAGTGATCACTTATTTTTCAGGCAGTCTGGTTTACTCGGTAAAACCAGAAGTTTAAACATCGCGGTTCATGTTTCCTGTTGCCCGCTTGCTTCGTGTGCTGCCTGCAGGAGGCTTCGTTGTCTTTAATATTGAAGAATTGAGGAGGATTTTATCAGCTAGAGGCGGTCACACCCCCCCAGGATGACGGGAGAGCCTTTCCTGCAGGCGCGGCGGTGTTGGCGTCCGAGGCGGCGCGATAGTGTGAGCAGAAGGGGCAGCGCGGTGGCGGCGCGCGTTCACCTGGCGGCTTGAGCTCTGATCCGAAGCCGCGTCCTGGGTGGGAGCAGGTCAGGCCCCTGCCCCGCATGCCTGCACGTTGCCAGCGCCCCTGGGTCCCCCAGCAGTGACAGGAATGTCACCGGCGTCTGCCCGGGGCTCGTGGTTGTTGTGAGGATTACAGCCAGAGAGCAGCTCTCGAACATTCGCAGACAGTGGCCGTCACCATGTTGTTCACGTAATGAAAACACTTTCTGCATTTCCCACGCTGGGCTTTCTCAGCACCACCAGGACAGTGTGGCTCTCCCCACTTCGCCAGCGGGTAAGCCGAGCCCACAGGTCGCAGCTCTTAGTCTAGGTCAAGGGCCCACGGGCCAAGAACGGTCGTTCCATTTCTCAGTGTTTGGGGACTTTAAACCAAGCCATACTCAGGCATCGGTGCCCGTGAGTGGGGGCACGGCCACGCCCTTGCAGGGTGCCCGGGGCTGCTTGCCCGCTGCCTTCTGGCCGGCAGAGTAAGATACTTCCTGTCACCTTTCACAGGGCAGGTTTGCTGGCCCCGGTCGGGACCACGAAACGAGGTAGCAGTGAAGAGCAAGCGGCGTCCTTGCTGGCCTGCGCCCCACTGCCCAGGCTCAGGGTGCCTCGGCATCCCCCAGTCTGACGAGGGTTCCCTAATTACCTCACGGGCCGTCACTGCAGTCATGACCCTGTAGCCCCATGCTCGTGCAGGCTTCCCGGGGGCAGCAGGGAGGCCTGTCAGGGGTTCATGTTGTGAGAGCTGCAGGTGTCCAAGCGGAGGCTCAGGTGACACCAGGGCATGGAGAGTTGTGACAGTCCCAAGGCCACGAGGATCTTGTCCTGCCCAGCGTCAGTGTCCATCGCCCACTGACGCACCCCCACACCAGGCCCAGCCCCCCACGACCCCGGAGGCTGGGCTCTGCTGAGCCACGGCGTGAGCCCCTGCATTGTCCATCCTCCCTCCCATGGTGCTTGCTGCGCCACGGCCCCTTGCTTTCAAGTGGGCGCTTTTCTGCTAATTTCTGAGCTGTCAGTTCCTCTTCTCTTACTGTTTATTTCAACATACACCGTGATGACAACCATCCTGACTGCACCATACCCAGGGGTCTAGAAGGCTCCGATCTCTTAATGTCTATTTTGAAATACTTGACTCATGGTCCAGGCACCGTGAAGCTCTCTCCCAAGTGTGCAGGCCCCAAGGAACCTTCCTGTGAGCACCCCTGGAGCAGAACTGACCCAGCATATCCGCAGGCCAAGGGCACCTGGTCACTAGAGACTCAGCAGGGTGAGGCACGGTGCTCTGAATGCCAGCTGCCTCTGGTGGGCGCTGGGGCCTTGAGCATCGATAGGTCTTCCTGGTGCCTCAGTTTCCTGCCTGTGAAACAGGTGATAATACTAGTCCCACATGTTCAGATCTCTCTGGAGATTAAAGGGCATAACTGCCTGTGGTCAGCCCTCGACGTGTTACCACCAGCGTGTGCGGACCCTGGCCATGCTTCCTATTTTTGTGGCCAAATCTTTAAGCCTGTTTCCTTTTTGCCTTTTATTTTATTTTCCATCGTGCCGTTGGTTAGCCCAGGCAGTTTCAGGCGGGACTACAGTTCTTCAGGGGCTCTTGGGTGTGTGAAAGCATATTTCACGTCAGTGCCCTAACGTGGCCTGGGATGCCAGAAAAGGAAATCAGAGCCCAGTCAATGTCAGGACTTCGCAGAGGCACGTGCCAGGGTCGGCATGCCAGTATGGTGGTCAGAGACATGCCCTAGGTCCACATGCCCTGAGCGGCCTTGCTTCCCTTCCTGGGCTGTCTCCGGAAGGACACAGGCCCGCCCACCTTCCCTCGCAAGCACACTCTGCACGTAGGTGCCTTCTGAGCAGTGCCCAGAGTGCTCGGTCCACGCCTGAGAACTCCATGCTGAATTCACACGGCTTCCAGAGAAAGCAGCCAGAGGCTGCCTGTGTCTGAATCCACCAGAACAGGTCCAGTTACCTTGGGCACCATCCCAAGACATACCAGCCGTTTCAGAATTGCTGTAGAGTAGGTGTCTCCTAAGGGTTTTATAAGAGGAATCAAGCTAGGAGGGCGAGCAAGCCTCGTGGCACCCGGGACCCCAGCACCAGCGCCTGCCGGGGCTCTCTGAAGAAGGCAGGTCACAGGCGGCCATGGCCTGTTTGTGTCACCCGACATGTGCACATGTCTCAGCTTCATGTGCATCTCCTGTAATCCTCATAACAACCCCACACGTGAGGGCACTGTTGCAGCCAGGCCAGGTGGCTTCCAGCAGGTTCCCCCAGTGCAGGCGAGGCCCTGTCCTGCTGCTGGTGGCCTGCACAGCTGGCGTCCCCTGCTGTGTTGATGCCTACCCGTATACTCTTTGTTAGCAAGTTCTTGCACAGCATTTCTCTGCCAGGCCCAGTTTTGGATGCTGAGAAAATGGAAGTAGACAGGCAGGGGAGGCTGCCCATGGAGTGGGGGCAGACAGAAGATAAAGGCATGGCGGGTGAGGGTAGGGATGGGTGCTGAGGGAGAGAGACAGTTGATGGTGTCAGAGTAGCGGAGGTCGAGTACAAATAAATCCCTTCAAGGAGGGCCCCTGGTTGGTGACGCTGGCTCTGTGCCAGCATGAGATGTAGGCCTGGTGAGCCCTCGGGGATGCCTGCCTTGCTGTGAGGGTGCTTTCATGCCCCTCTTCAAGTCGGTGGGCACCATTAGCCAAGGAGGCCTTGCCAGGCAGGCCTGCCAGGCTGGCCATAAGGTCTTGGCCCAGAGCCAAGAGCAGTGATGTTGAAGGTGCTTGAGCAGTTCTGGAAGTAGGCGACAGGGGTGGGAGAGGTCCGAGCTGCTCACGGGGCTGCTTGCAGAGGTGTGTGCTCTACGTGAAAGCAGGCAGGAGGCAGGGCAGATGGTAGCCATGCTCGCCCTTGGCTGTGCTTGCTGAGGGTGGCCGCTGGAAGCTGAACTGGTGACATCTCAGAGCCAGGAGGTGGGCAGCTGCTGGCTGTGCCACCGGCGCGGCTACTCTCCTCTTAGCTGTCAGGTGCTGCCTTCCCCACCTCGTCCTGTTGCTTCCCTGCCCCTCGGTAGCTTCCTGTGGTCCCTGATGGCAAGTCACATGGTCTGTGATGGTGGGATGATGTCTCCTGACAGTCCTCCTGTGCAGGAGCAGAGCAGTAGGTCCAGAGCATGCCAGTTCACCGTCCTTAGTAATCACTGAGAGAGAAATAGAGACGTGAAGGAAGGTGGGTTTGGGGTCGAGCAAGGTGTTTCCTTTAATCCTCTGAGTAGTATTAGTTATAAACATGTAAAGAATAATGAACATCCACCTTTCCTACAGGACTAATGAATAGACACGAAATGTTCTTAAGGAGACTTGATTTACTGGTTACGCTCTGCCAGCTGAAACTTTAATCACTTTACTGATGGTGACAAATTAAGAGTTGGGTCCCTCCAGTGACTTGGGACTGACGTCTGCCACCGCACAGCAGGCGCCCTCGGGCGGAGAGCCCCACCCCCTCTGTTTCCTCTGGCTCTGTAGTGTTACTACCCGAAGGAGGTAAGGTGGCAGCACAGAGGAAAGGACTTTGAGCCTTTAGTTCGCGGGGTTAAAGGTAGCTGCCAGGAAGATTTGAAGAGAGCTCTCTCCTGAAGCAGCTCCGAAGCCCTGCATCCATTAGGGGTCACAGTTTGAGTCTTTAGGCACAGAGCAGCTAAAGGTTTTCCCCTTTCCAGAAAGAAAAACAGACCCGACCTACGGGACCGTCCTCAGATGGCTTCCCCGCTGACACAGCACTAGGTTTCTAAGTTGCTGTGTTACTGGAAGGAATAGTTGGAGCTCCCTGACTTTATCTCAGAAACTAAGTCACTTGAACGTGCAGCTTGCTCTCCGTTGATCCTCCTTGGTAGATCTTTTACCCGGCAGACTCTTGAGATACCTGAGTGGAGTGTGATGCGCCATCGCTGCCTGGGCCGGCTTCACCCTGCACAGATGAGGCCAGTCAGTGTGGGCTGTCTCCTCAGAGATCAGCTGCCGTTGTTGTGTTCTCAAGGAGAACGTCTGATCATGCCCTGGAGCCTAGCTGCAAATAACATCGCCCTCTGCCTGCCGAGGCCTGTGTTTTGGAGGCACCAGTCTTGTTTGGGGAATCCCAGTGAACAGCAGTGTGGTCTAAGCCTGCGCTGGGTGCAGCGAGGGGGTCATGGTCAGGACAGAGGGTGGATCTGAGTCAGACATGTAGTTGTTTTGTGTCTTTCAGTTTCCACAAGGGCTTTCTGTTAGCTGCCTGAGAAGCAAGTCATGTATTGTAAATACTGACCGGATCGTGATGTCACTTGTATTTCTATAAATGAGTCATGTGGGAGCAAAAATTGAGTAATAGTGTTCTAAGAATATGTCAGCCATACTAAGGGGTTTAGGCAGATCATTTTGCCTTTTCAAATTCTACGAAGGCCAGGAGGTCACATATTTAACCTCTTCCAACATATCTCTTTCCTCTCCCGCAGAAACCGACGATTACGCCGAGATCATAGACGAAGAAGATACGTACACCATGCCCTCGAGTGAGTAGGCTGCCGGCTGCGCCCGTGCACGCGCGACAGATATTTAGCTTCTGAATATTTCACTTTTAAAATGTTAGCTGTTTCTTTCTTTCGGGACTGTCTTTTATGCCTTACTGAGAGCGTAACAGAAACATTGTGTTCAACCTTCAGAGTTCAGTGTCAGATGTGCCCCTCTGAGGTCAGCAGCCTGACACTCAAGAGTCTGTGAGTGAGTTTAGTTATAGCTTTTTGTAATTTTGTTTTCTGGTTCTATGATAATGATATTTTTTTTAAAGATTGATTTATTTATGCATACAAGAGCTAGGTACAGGCCAGAGATGTGCGGGGGCGGGGAAAGGATTCACTAGAGACAGAGTGGGGAACAGAACAGACGGACTGAAATACACTCTTGAGGGGAGCAGCGGGCGAGACAGGAGAGGTCTGCTTCGCCATGTGGTTTCCTCTCTGGCCGCCAGGGGATCGAACTCGTCGTGCTGCAGAGTCTGCAGATTGCTTCATAGTGCGGTGCTTTACCCCTTGCGCCACCAGGGAGGCCAACAGTATTTATTGATTCAAGTATTTCCTCTCTGTAGAAAATTTGCATCATCATTTAAACTTAAATACGCGCGCACGCGCACACACACTTGATTTTCTGGAGCATGCGTATTTAGCGACTAGCCTTTCCCCGTCAACTCTGTGGGTCTTCATAGTCCTGACTGGCCAGCATGGAGAGCTTCCCACATGCAGGGTGGTGTGGGCTGGGGAGGGAGTGCCAATTCTAGGCGACCTTGACCTTCCTGAAGCCTGGAAACTCCTAATTCTTCCCCTCTCCGTGGAATGAGGCGGCTTTGGGGCCCCGTGCCTCATGTTGGAGAATGTAGTCCCAGATTGTGAACTGGAGAAGCCCTTGAAATTTTCATTCATATAAAAAAATTTTGAAGCTACCTCTTAAAGATGCTCAGTTCAGACTCCACCTGACAGCCGCAGAAACCCGACTGATTCAGCATCTGTTGTCCTGACGTCAGCAGAGTCATACTTGTATCAGCAATGTTTCCGGTTCTTTATCCTGTAGTGTAATTGTTTTAAAAGATGCTCTCATTGGATTTCTATACGTTGAGGAGATAGTATTGAAATAAAGAGAAGCCACCCGCCCCTCCTGCAGGCCATTCCAGGGACCCCACTCCCTTCCTAGGGCTCCTGCGCTGGAGATTGTGCATGCGTTCCGAGTGCGTGCGTTCCGAGTGCGTGCATTTTGACTTGCAGTGGCAGTTTGAAAAAATGTTCAGGTTTAGGCTTAAGTTCTTTGTTAGACATTTAGTCATTTGTCCATCCCTAAAGAATATCCAAATGCCTGTTTATTATTCAGGTTGATTAGAAAAGGTCCAGTATGACTAACTTTTGTCCAGACCCCACAAAAGTGAGTCTCGTTTAGGGATCTGTAAGAGGATATTTGGAGCATTGTTTGCCTAACATTGAATTAACGTGAGGATATTTAGCTTTTACTTATGCTTAGTCCTATTTCTTTACCCATATTCATCTTTAAAATATTTAACAAAACATTGAAATGTACTCTCCAACTTTGTTGTTGTAATGTAACCCTGATTGCTATTAGTTATTTCTAAGCAAGGTCTTCAATTTTTTTCTCTCTTAATTGCAATACAGAAAGCTATGGAATAGATGAAGGTAACAGGATTCCTTTAAAATAACTGCATTTGCTTGCAATCGCAACTTGTGGAATGATACGGGATGTTTCCGTTTTCAGTTAACTTTTATTTTTAAACTACTTTTCATTGGTTTACTCATGCTGTGAAATCAATGAACTACTAGCTAAAGTGATTTTAAAGAGGAAAATAACTATCTAAAATTTGGCTAGATTTTCTGTATGATTTATAATTTGATAAGCCAAGGAGAAAGTTGCAAATATTTGGCTATTGTTTTAGTCCACTGGTGGCCGCACTGGTGGAACGGACACAGATGGACTGTGGGAGATGTCTCTTGACTGGAAAAAATCAAAATACCAAGTAGTTAATCAAATTGGAATTTAATCTACTAATTTCCTACTGGGTATTTTCTTTCCATGAGCCTCAGCAACCTGCTAAATAATTGGTTTTGTGTAAATCACAATTTAACACAGTAATTGATTTGAAACAAATACTCTTAAAAATTAAAAAATGTTCATCATTTATTATGTGATTTGTTCAACCTTGATCCCAAGTCATCTGATTCTGAAATTAGTTTTTAGAATCTACCTCTTTAAACTCTTTTAGCTCCATAAATAATATAGAGATAGGATTATAATGAAGTGGAACGCTCTTAAACTTTTCAAAGATAAAGTCATTCGTGACACAGTTGTTTTGACAACCGTATTTTATAAACTTTATAAAATAATTGCTTTAAATTACTTTTTTTAGCCTTTATATATTAATGCCTGATCTAGTAGAGCTTATTAACTCAGCATACAATTTAATACTTGAAGAAATTACTTAGACTGACTATCAGATAGATATAAACTAAACCAGACATTCAAAATTATGGAAAAAATATACCTTTAATAAAACTCATCATTTTGTTAGATCCACCAAGGCAATAACAGTTCCATAAATTATTTTTTAAATACTGTTTAAGAGAATTCCACTGTTTAAAACATATTCATAGAATGATGTGCCACCAATGAAATTTTTACTCATGAAATGTGTCAGTGTCATTTCTGCATTTGTACTCTGGTATTGTACTCTGGTATTTCTTGATGTGTGGATCATGTTTTGCAGCCAGGGATTATGAGATCCAAAGAGAGAGAATAGAACTCGGACGGTGTATCGGCGAAGGCCAATTTGGAGATGTGCACCAAGGCGTGTACATGAGCCCAGTAAGTCACCGGCCACACACTTGGGCGCCTGCCGGGTGCTCCTCTTCACACTGCCCCTGCTCTGCCCGTGAGCCCTTGCTCTTCGTCCAGATCTCATGTCAGCCAGTACAGTGCACTCAGAAACCAAAAGGCAGAGGTAGCTACTCGAGGGCCGGGTCCGGCTCCACTCACTTTGCTCTCTGAGCTTCTGGGCCAGGCTTGCCCCAGGCCGAGCGTGGCATGGGGCAGCCCACAAGCCCGCCGAGGTCAGCCACAGAACAGCATGTTTCCCACACTTTCAAGAAAGAACATTCATTTGCCTCAAACTGCCCTCCAAACTAGATTAGTGGTTTTTTAAAGTTATTTAATAATCGCATTATTGAAATAAAACACATTATGAAAAATTGCTTTCCCAGTCTACACTGCAGGGGCCTTTTTTGGTCCAGTAGAGTCACAGTAGTGCAGCCATCACCACAGTCAGCTCCACAGCATCTTCTCTCCACAGAGCTGTTAGCAGCTTCTTCCCGTCCCACCGCTCCTGCAGCCGCGGGAAGTACAACGGGGCCCAGCAATTTGAGCTGGTGCCCTGATGAGCACGGGGATGTCCCTCACACAGATGTCCCCACAGGTGCGTCTTCCTACCACCTTTGCACAGCCTGCACACACACGTGATGTCCTGATCATAGCTTTACAATCAAAACACTGTAAAAAAAAAAAAAAAGTCTTTTCAACTACAACAGGTAGTTGCCACCATGTAGCTAAACAGATTTGGGTTCAGTTTTGAACTGTTATGTATTTCTAGTCAGTAGGTCCTTTCCAACTGTTTTTACTTGGTCTACATTCTTCATCTTCTCGTTTCTCTTAATTCTGCTTTGTGAGACCAAAATGCAGTAGAAAGAGACCTGAATCTAAATCTAGTCTAAGACCTAAGTTTTAGACCCGGTTCTGCCTCTGAGACATGGAGAGACTTCTTAACTCTGAATTAATTGGGAGTAAGCCAGTGGTCTCAGTCTTGCACCACCGAGATTCTGAGCGGGAAGGATCCTGACGCTCCGAGAGCGCGTGACGTGCCGGGACCACAGAGCTGGTGGAGGGCGGCTGACCCACTGCATCCGCTCAAACAGAGTCCTTTTTAGTTGTGAAAATACAGGAGAACAGTTTTGCTCAATAGCTCTGCTCTGTCCTGTGTTTACTAAATATGTCGAATGCATCCCAGTCCCCAGAAAAATACCAGGGTTCACATGTTTTTGTTGACTTCCTGATATGTATTTCATGTGACTTTCTGTCCTGCCCACTCCACTCACCTCCTCTGCTCCTACACTTGTCCATGCCACCGTCTTGTCACCTGTACTGTCCCCGTGTTCCTGAAGTTCTTCAGGACCACACACAGTGCCCCTGGCAAGGTGCGAGGGCAGTGCTGACCAGCCCTGCAGCCCCATCTCAGGGAAGGCCTGGCCCCCAGCTCCCATCTGCTGCCCCCGCTGGCGGCACTCACACACGGCACTGCCTCAGCACCGGCCCAGGGCCCTGCCCAACCTCAGGCCTGGCTCACCTCTCCTGCATCGGGATGTGCTCTTTCTCTCTTGTGCGGGGTGATACCCCCTAATGCACGCGTGCAAACTTGGTCAGAATGGGGGTCACTGCCACTGCCCCTGAGCACCAAGAGCAGTGCCCAGCAGGTGGTGGCAGGAACTGTGCAGCCTCACACGTGCTTGTCCGTCCTCTCTGGGGTTGTATTCAGGCTGTTTTAAGCATTTTTCTCAAGATTTTACCATCCTCATCTGGTCTGGCACAGAATCCACTTATTTACAAAGCAAAGAGCTTTCCCTACATGTGCCTGTCTGTTGCAGTGGAGAGTTCTTTTTCATGTGTGATTTTTGTCATTTCCCTGACACAGGAGAATCCAGCTCTGGCGGTTGCAATTAAAACATGTAAAAACTGTACTTCGGACAGTGTGAGAGAAAAGTTCCTTCAAGAAGCCTGTAAGTTTCTGGAAACTTCTGTGGAACTCCATCTGACTTTCTGTCTGTGAAATCAAAACTGCGATGAAAAAAAGTGTTTCAGCTTTTATGAGACAACTGATTTATTATCTTCCCTTGCCAATTAATATCTGTATTTGTAGAGACACATAGCTAGTTTTTTTTTAGGTGAGCCATGATGTTTAGGGTATAAAGGTAGATTGATTTGTTCTCCCTTTATCCTCCGGTCCCCTCTGCCATTCAGCATTGGGAAGACACAGAAATGAGAGATGCTGCAGGCCCCAGAGGGGAGCACTGCAGACACAGTCCCGCCTGACGGCGCCCAGGTGTGAGGGCCTGGCCCATCCCTGGTCCTGCTGGGAGTCTCAGCCCCTGGCCTGCCATGGCTATCACCTGGTTCTGTAGCGGGAGCCCCATCAAACTGGCCAGTTGGCTTCTTTGTAAGTTACTTGGCTGTTCAGGGAAGTGTATGATGTGGATACCGACACTCCTGACGTGCTTTCCCGGGCCCCCGTGCCAGAGGGTGCATCGGCCTAGGTTGGGGTACTAATGTTATTTCAATTAAAATTAGGAATAAAACAAAACTGTTAGGTCCTAGTCTTGAAATATGCAGGAAAAATCGAGAAAGAAAAACTTTCAGGATTTGTGTTATCTCAAGTGCAGGTGAAATGACAGGGAGAGGGGCCAGTGTGATCTTGGTACACCCACCCGGCGCCCAAGGGCCTGTCCATGCTGGGCCCCGACTCAAAAAGCATGTGGACTTTGTATATCTCACTCACTCAGTGGACAGTGACCTCAGCTGAGAAGAAGCTTGGAAACATGTCCCCTGAGGGACACTGGGTTGTTTAGTCTGGAGAAGACGTGCCAAGAGAATGTAAACGTCGCCCTCTTTTTTCAAAAATTCTATTTTTTAAGTTGTATTCTTTTTCCTTTTATTGAAATGACACTGGTTTTGGTTGATGACACTGTAGGAGATTTGGGGAGTAGGTTTCTGCCTGTCAGTGTGTCACCACCACCCCTACCCGTGGCCTGTGGCTTCTCAGTGGGTTATCATGTGGCAGTAAATTTTTTTTCCTAACAAAGAAGGCAGAGAAAAGAGAAGATAATAAAATCAGTAATAAGAGAAGCAGTTATATGTTACAAGTGGTCAAGAGAAAATTCCAGAAGCCACACACATAGGGAACAAAGGAATGCTGAAATGAATTTCAAATTCTGTGCAGCACTGTAATTGTATTCCCCCAGACATACCTCCCTTGCATTTTTAAAGACAAGAATTATGTGTATTATTATATTTCCTACAATGTATGAGTTACAAAATAACTCAGACATTGAAGACTGAGACAACCCAAATGAGTGAGCCAAACAAGCTTTCACTAGTGTGTTTTGCCCATTTCAGCCTTTCACAGCTCTTCCTGACAGTGTTCGGGGACCAGTTGCTTTACAGCATGTGGCAGCATGGGGAGAAGCCGCCACTGCTGCTATCCTGTCCTTGCTTAGCCTCAATGGATCAACTTCACTAGCCCCCACACCTCCCGTCTTTTAATAGTTCAAAGTCCAGTGCTCTGGGGACTCTGCTATCACCTCCAGAGCCCCTCCAGCTCTGGTGTGGGGGCTGCCCTGCCCTCTACCCTGCAGGCTCAGAAGCACACGCACACGGCCCTGTGTGCATGGCGGACCCCGGTTGCCGTGGGCTCATTGAGGCTGGCCCTCAGGACCAGGCCTGCCCACAGGGCGGTCAGCATTTATAGGAAAGTCCTCCTGCAGCCCTGGAGCCACTTTGCCTCTGGAAGGTGCAAACAAGGGGATGGGGCTCCTCCTTTGCTGGGGGCGTGGCACCCAGTCCACCTGCACACCCACCACACTCCCCAGTGGGTGGTTGCGTTCCTCTTGGCAGGTTACCAGTGGGCGGTGGACAGCAGAGTGCTGCCCAGTGAGTGAGTTGCACTGTCTCACTTGATCAGACTTTCAGAGGGACCCTAGAAGTACCTGTCCCTAATTCTTAACCTTCCTCATGGTGTGGTCTCCCCTGGGGACTGGCTAACCAGCTCGCTGCGCTCGAGCTCAGGCCCTACCCACTGCCAACCTATGCCCACCTGTGCGTCCAGTCCCCACGGCCATCAGTCAGCCTGTGTGTGTCAGCCTGTGTGTGCTGAGTTGTCTCAAGGAGAGCTGTAGTGACCTGCCGCCTGTCTCCCCAGTAACCATGCGCCAGTTTGACCACCCACACATCGTGAAGCTGATCGGTGTCATCACAGAGAACCCCGTCTGGATAATCATGGAGCTTTGCACGCTTGGAGAGGTACTGGGTGCGGGGTGCGCTGCTGGGGTCCCCCAGGGCACACTGTGAGCATGTGGCCCTAAGTTGTACATGGCGTCTTCCCTTGTGGTGCAGAAAATGTGGGTGCAGGGGCTTCCTCGCTGCACCCCAAGCCCACCCCTCCCCTAACTCATCGCCACGCGTGCCTTAGACCCACCAGGCCCATGCACATGGAGTTTCTCCCCCATGGCCCCGTGGTCCCGAGTGCTGACCCTGCGGCTTGAGAGGGAAAGATGCAGTGCTGATGGAATCTTGAGCAAGTTGATGCTAAAACTTTAATCTTTTAGAGAATTCACTTTGCAGTATCTTTGAAACCAGCTGATATTAGTCATAGTTTCTTTTAAAAATGTGAGTAACAGGATGTGAGCAGCTCCTCTCTCCAGTGCTGTTTCATCTGCGTGTCACCGTCACCTGGCTTGTTAGACAAGCAGCCCCAGTGCCCCATGCTGCGGGATCCGGGCAGGTGGGCACCCCATGCTCTGTCCTAACCCTCAGGCAGCCTGTGTGGTTGAGGAGCAGTGAACACTGGTCTTCTCCAGGGCCTACGTGTGTCTCTGACCCAGAATCTCAGTAATTCAGCCTCTACCTCATGCTGCACAGCCCTCCTTTTTTAAAGGGCCCCAAACATCGTGCAGGTTTGCTGGGAATTGGGATTCAGGGCCCTCCCTCCTCTTAGGAAAGCACCCCCCACTCATCCTTTGAAGGGTCCTGCCCAGCGACCCCTGCTCTCTTGAGTTTCGTGACGACCAGCAGTGGACGGAGGTTGAAGGCCACTACTAACCTCTTCCTCTGCCCTTTCTAAATAAAATGGAGTGCTTGTTCCCATGGTTTCTGCTTTTGCTTTTGGAGAATTTGTTAATTCTTCTGGCTTAAAAAAAAAGTTGGCAGGTCTTTCTCTCGGGTCATTGTGTCACATGGGCACTGGCATCCTCTCCCTTCACTTGCGTCCTGGGAGCAGGGTGGCCTGGTCGGCTGCGTGCTCTGCTCCCGACAGGTCGTGGGCAGAGGCCTGGCCAGGGCCTTTGCTTCTTGCCTCTGGAGCCCCTTTCCTGCCGGCCGGGGGCCCAAGGAGTGGGCGTGTGGTGAGCACACTTTGTGTGCGGGGCTGCCCTGAAGGGTGCGGAGCTGCTGTCCGGCGGCTGTTCCTTGGCGGTGCTTGTGCTGTCCTCACCCCGGAAGCATCTCTCTTTCCAGAAATTTGTCTACAGTCATGAAGATTTCAGTTTTACAATAGGATTTCAAATAAAGAATGACTAACCATAGTATCTGAGCTAATAGGCTTCCTCGGTGGCACTTTTTATTCAGGGAAGACAAAAGCCATTCTCATAAAAGTGCCTCTGGAATTGGTCAGTGTTGGTATGAGGGAAGCCCTTTCACTACTGAGTTCTTACTCTGCATCACTTATTTTTCTTTTTCATCTGGCCACTCTTCCAAAGCTGAGATCATTTTTGCAAGTGAGGAAATACAGTTTGGATCTAGCCTCCCTGATCCTGTATGCCTATCAACTCAGTACTGCGCTGGCCTATCTAGAGAGCAAAAGATTTGTGCACAGGTAAGACCTCGCCGAGGCTCTGAGCCACCTCTGGGCGGGCTGGGGGTGGAAACCAGCATGGGACAAGTTCCCCCATTACCTGTGATCCTTGTGCCATAGGGCTCGGTACAGGTGTCCCGCCCTAGCGACGTGCTGCATGTTAATGTACACGTTTAAGCTCCTCATAGAGTTTGAAACATCTTATTCCTTCTACAAATACTCTTGAGAGCCTGTGCGTGGCACAGAGTTTGTGATCATATGGCCGAAGCGGATGCTGTCCTGGGACTTTGCAGGAGCCGAGTCACGAGTGACACCTGTTGGCACTCTGCACGGCTGCATTCAGAACCCAGGTCTCCAGCTTGAATGCGTGTGAAAGTCCTGACAATTTGTCTTCCCTTGTGATGTCAAAATTTTACTGTCTAGCCTTAATGAGCTACATCAGCAAAATCCTTTGAAGGTGCTCAGAAGATGAACTTGTTTATTGAAGATTTCCTTAGTAAAGCAGGTTACAGACCTCTGTTGTGTGTCACAGTCAGTTGGTATGAATGTATGAACAGCAGTAAATTGACTCATTATTTGAGAATATTCTTTGCTATCATTCAAAATAATAATCATGAGTAAATATCTGCCAAATGTTATATGTATTTGAAGTAAAATAATAAAGGTGTCTTTTTTAATCATCTGTTTGCATTGTATTTAAACTCTGAGCATGGATATGTATAATACACTGGTTGAATTTATACGTTCGTTTTTCCTTGTGTTAAAATACATTGTCCCAAATTCTTACTTACCAGGGATATTGCTGCTCGAAATGTTCTGGTGTCCTCCAATGACTGTGTAAAACTAGGAGACTTTGGACTGTCCCGATACATGGAAGACAGCACTTACTACAAAGGTGAGCCATCAACGCGGCAAGTGAGAAAGGCTCAGGGTGCTTAATGGTTTTTAGTTCTTAAAAAAGGAATGTTCTGATATGCTCGGTTGACTGTAGAGCAAGGACAGCCTTCTCACCCGCTGGACATCCAGAGGCAAAAGCCTGTCCCATCTGAAATGTCAGCTCAACATGGATCTGAGATTTGATCATGAAACATAAAACTGTCAGGGGTCTTAGGGAGAAATCTTTGGAGTCCAGGACTGCGCAGAGTCCTTAGGCCTGACACCGAGTCAGGGTCCAAAGGAACGCATGGAGCACGAGCTTTGCTCTGTCAGAGAGGCAGCTCAGGATGAAGGCGCCCAGTACAGAGTGTACCGGAAGACAGTGTTTGCGAGCCGTGTCCCTTGCAAAGGACTAGCATATATAAGGAGCTCTCAAAACTCAAAACAGTTAGAAAATGGGCAAAAGAGAGGAAGAGAGCCCTCACTGTAGAGACGGCCGTCAACACAGGACCGGATGTCCATGTCTTCATGCAGGGGGACGTGCAAAGGAGGACAAGTGATGGTGCCCCACGCTGGCTGGATGCAGACACAGTCACGCCTCGCTTCTTGTGAGAGTGTAAATTAGCACCACCATTCTGGAAAAGAATTTTCCAGATTCTTACACTGAACCTACAACTACCCTAATCCCAGCAGTTGCTCTCCTGGGCACTGCTCCCTGGAAATGAATATTTGTTATGTTCACACAAAACCTGCCTTTGAATGTTCGGTGCAGCTTTGGTAGTAGCCAAAGGCTGGGGTCTGCCCAGATGCCCCTCAATTGGAGGACACAGAGACATGGCAGCCGACGGCCCTGTTGCCCGGGAGAGGCCTGGTGTGGCGCAGCTAATGCCTGTGAGCTGTCTTTAACTTTGCCTGTCTTTGAATCAGATTGAATTGGTCCTTCAAATTATTACTAAGCAATTATTATTACTTCCATTTTTCAAAGCCAATTTCTTTCTTAATTTGTTTGGCTTTTATGCGGCAGCAAAATGACCTGAATTTTCACATGGAAAGCTCGTTTGCTCTTACGTGGGTCATGTCTCCTTTTTTACGTGCTTTTTGTGCACTGCAGCCTGAATCAGGGCTTGCACGCCTTTGTTCTGGGGGAGAAAATTCAAGTCAGCTTCCCACTGTTTTAATTTAATCTAATCTCCAGCTCGAACCCTAACTAGTCCAGGGCCTAGAATTGCAAACCTAGGGTGGCCGGGCCTTCACATCACAGACAGTGCTTAAAATGGGCAGTGGACAAGTTCACGCCTTTGTTCCCATCTCAGATAAGCTCTGGGGGGGCAACCCCAGAAGGTCAGTGTTCCTCCATGCAGAGCCCAGATGTGTAGCAGTTCGCTTTGAAGGAATCAAGTAGAGGATTTGACCTCAGTTGTCATGAAGCCACTTGATGTTAGATGGGGAAAAAAATCAAGGACGCAAAAATCATCTCCTGTGGCTTCTCGAGCGGTGCCCCCACTGTCGGGAATGCGGGCCTTTGGCCTGGCCAGGCCTGCCGAACCTTGTCACCCCTTCCCAGGCCTTCCCAACGCCCCCCAGCCTCTCTTGCTCCCTCTGGCCCTGTGCTGTATCGAGTGCCCCTTTTCTGCCTGCAGACAGGCCCTCCAGATGGGCTGTCTCGTGACCCAGCAGCCGAAGGCATGTGCTGTGAGACTGAGATTTCCAGTGTGGCACAGAGGAAGTCCTTGGGCTTCTAAGAAGGAACAGTTTCTACAGAAATGGGCTGTCCTAAGGAAATTCTCTTTTCATTCCTTTGCCCCCACCTACTTTTCACGCCAAGGTGCCAATACTCCTCGTCATTTGCAGATTCCTTACTTGCACATTTGCGGAGCCACTAAAATGAGTAACTCCCAAGCCCGTCCTGGCGGCGCTCTTATGTCATGTGCAGACACGCATGGGACCACAGAGACATGGAGTCATTTCAGCTGGAGGATGGAGGGAGTGGGACTCACAGGGAGTCCCACAACCCTGTGAGTCCCACAGCCCTGGGCCAGCTGGTGGGCGGCAGTGATCCCAACTCCCAACACCCACTACTGGGGTGATGTAGGGCAAGCCTCTGGCCCTCATTTTCTAGAGAAATGGCACTTCCAGGAAAGGTTTTCAGAGACAGAACGGTGGCCTGTGTAGGACACATGTCCCCGTGTTTTCCTGGGAGCAGTGTGGTTCTGTGCTAGAGGCGACTTTGTGAAGCAGGCGCGAGCTGCAACTGTGCTGGCAGCAGGCTGTCCCCGCCTGCAGCCGCAGCTCATGAAGCCTGTCTCACCACACCACAAGCTGGCACCTCCCTCTCCCTCCCCACCCCTGCCTGGGAGAAGGCCGTCCTGCTGCGTGTAGCCACGCGTCACCCCAGAAGCCCTAGAACATCCAGGAATGACAACCAGTTCCCCAAAGAAATGGGCGGTGCAGGGGCTCAAAGAGCTAAGGGGTTCGTCCTGACAGTACAGTCCTCGGGTGGCTGTAACAAGCACCTAAGCCGGTCACAGGAAATTCATTTTCTGAAATTTACTTTCTAGCTTCCAAAGGAAAGTTGCCTATTAAGTGGATGGCTCCAGAGTCAATCAATTTTCGACGTTTTACCTCAGCTAGTGACGTGTGGATGTTTGGTGAGTATTTTGATAAATTTTGTGTTCTTAAATTTTTTTTTTTAAGATTTATTTATTTATACGAGAACCGGGGTACAAGCCAGATGCGCGGGAGGGTGAGAGGATTCACCAGAGACAGAGTGGGGAGCAGAACAGGCAGACTGACGAAGTACACTGCTGAGGGGAGCAGCGGGCGAGACAGGAGAGGTCTGCCGCGCCATGTGGGACTCTCGCCGGCCGGCCAGGATCGAACTGGCGCTGCAGAGGCTGTGGACAGCTTCACAGTGCTGCACTGAACCGCCTGCGCCACCAGGGGAGGCCCAGTGTGTTCTTAAATTTCGTACATCCTGGTGATAAGCATGGTGCTACCTCTCCCCACGTGGGCAGGTGGGCCTCCTGAGCCTGTCCTCCCTCAGACCCTTCCTGGTTCCCTGGACAGGTGGTGATTGAGCATGTAACTGCACAGCTTTCAGGTGTGGCTTCTGGAGTGCTCTGCTGCTCTGACTCTCCTGCTCCTGTCACTCTTCCTTTTGGTTTCCTATAGCGGCTCTTCTTCCATTGCCAGAAGAGACCATTTTCCTTCCTTCTTTCCTCTTTCTCATCATCTTTTCATTTCTTTTATGTGAATGACCTAACTAGTTCACCTTAAATGGTTCTGTAACAGCCTCTCAAATGCAGAGCATCGAGAACTGTGGTTAGTCTCCTCACTCTGGAAGCCGCCCGCCTTCCTGACCCCTCTTGCGTGGTTCCCCTGAGACGTCTGAGCCGTCCTCCCTGTCTGTGCGCTCTGGCCCCGTCCTCCCCTCTGGGCGGCCCCCTGTCCACCCCAGCTCAGGTCCGGGCTCCCTCGCTATGCACCGCTGACCTCAGCTCCTTGACCCAGATTTTAAAAGACTTGCCTTTCCCCTGTGGGTGACACGCCCTCCCAGTCCATTTACCCTGTGCTGCCCCTTCCACCTGAACCCCTTTTCCATACCCCCTTTCGCCTGTCTGAACTTCTCAGATCATTGCCATCCCCCTGCAAGGCGTCTCCTCCCTGCCACCCTGGGGAGCAGATGCAGTGCCCCTCAGAAATGCCCTTTCTCTGCATTCCTGCACTTCCCTGTCATCACCCCGGTGACCTTGGGGGTGGGACAGCATCTCTACTCGAGCTTCAGCCCCTCTGAGGAGAGGCTCTGTTAGGTGTGTATACCTTTATTTTCCCGGGATAAGAGTTACTTGATTCATACCAGGAATGTGTTAGGCATGAGTTGGGGCCTTGCTTTGGTTCCATTTGCCCACGCGGTGGCCTTGGTCACGTCGCTGCCACCTCCTCATCTGAGTGTGCTTAAGAGTCTTTAGGTAAAAATAATTCTAAGAAGTGACAGGATCATGTCACGATATCGGCAGTACTTCCTCCCCTTTTTGGCCATATAAAATAATAGCGTGCCTCACGATCAGTGGCATCTTAGATTAGGTAAAATACTGTATTAAAGAAATGTATGGTTATAAGGATGAGGGATAATAATTAAATATCAAAGAAGAGGACCCAAGACATGCTAAGGTCTCAAGAAATTGTACTCAGTATTATTATTGATAATGTTATTTCTGGTGAGAAAAGCAGAACTAAGGCATTATTTTTCATGCACACTTGGAAATTATGGCGTGTCTAGGGGATGGGGAGCAGCAAGGCCTTAGCAGGACAAGGCAGGGGCTGCCTGCACTAGCTGACGCCTCCCACTGGCAATCCATGCTCGTCAGGGCTTGCGTGTGCTTCTCAGAAGGTGCTGGGCAGGTGTGTGCTTCTGGGTAGAGTGAGCAGGCCTGTTGAAGCTGGTGGTAGAGCTTGTGGACGCACTCACTGCCTCTCCCCCCGCCCCAGTGGGGGCAGCACTGTGACTTCCAGGACAGGTGTGACTCGGGAACAGAAGTGGTGTCAGGAATCTGAGCTTCCTGGCAGAGAAAGGCTTCTGCGGACGGTGTTCCTGGGCCTGGGCTGGCTCCTGAGATCATTGGCAGGTGTACTGGATGGGGAGGATCTAAAGTTTGTCCTCCACTCCTGAACCGGTGTTCGGCCCTGGAGCATCACTGTAGCTGGCAGGCTAAGGTTTTTTGTTTTTTTTTTTAAAGATTTATTTATGTATTTATTTATGCACGCGCTGGGTATCAGTCAGAAGCGCTGGAGGGTGAGAGAATTCACCAGAGCCAGAGCGGGGAGCAGAGCAGGCAGAAGGACCGAAGTACACTGCTGAGAGGAGCAGCGGGCGGCAGGAGAGGTCTGCGCGCCGGGTGGGACCCTCCTCCGGTGGCCGGGGAGCAGCCGGGGATCAAACCGGTGCTGCAGAGGCCGCGGGCAGCTTCGCCACCCAGCACTCAACCGCTGCGCCACCGGGGAGGCCCAGGCTAAGGTCTTCTAAAACAAGGTTTTTAGGGACTTATGCGTCTTAGAGAAAAAGATTTTTTTCTTTGGTTGTAATTTAGTGTTTCATCAGTCATATCATATTAAAATCTTGTTAGTGTTGTTATTTTATAACAGAGTTAACAGAGTGTTGCTTTATTTAGCTGATCTCCCACAGTCCACAGCTGGTGCTTGCGCACCAATGATGAAGTTGTTGCTGAAACACAGACGGCGCTTCCGGCTGATGGTCTGTTGTTCTCCCGCCTGACAGGTGTGTGTATGTGGGAGATACTCATGCACGGCGTGAAGCCCTTTCAAGGAGTGAAGAACAATGATGTGATCGGCCGAATTGAGAACGGGGAGAGGCTGCCCATGCCTCCAAATTGCCCTCCCACCCTCTACAGCCTTATGACGAAATGCTGGGCCTACGACCCCAGCAGGCGGCCCCGGTTCACAGAGCTCAAAGCTCAGCTCAGGTAGGAGGGGCTGGGCTGGGCTTGTGCTGCTCCTGCTGGCTGCAGGGAGGGCTGCTGGGCGCCGGCTGTGCCTGGCGCTGCCTCCTTGACTTGCGTCTCTTTTTTCCTTGCCTGGGTCTCGGTTGATAATGTCTTCAATCTTAATAGGCTTCAGGTGATGATCAGACTCCACTCCTGCCTTCTGACTAAGCATGGCTCACAAGCGCCGTAGTAATCCCATCTCTACCTCCCAGTCTCCTCACGTGACCCCCTCTGGCTCCTGGGTACCCCGCTCCAGCAGGACCAAACTGTATCTGATTCCCCACAACTTGCGCTCTCCTCACGTGCTGTCTTCCGTCAGAAACGCCTCTCTCCCCCCAGTAGATTCCTGCCCCACCTTCAGAATTCAGCTTCAATGCTGCTGCCTCCTGGAAACTCCAGCCCACCCTTCCCCTGAGGGGATGGCCGCTGCTTGGCTCCTTTCCCCGTTCTGGCACTGCACCTGCATTGTCCCCTCGCTCTTACACCCCCAGTAGTTCCCAGTCCCCGGGCAGGAACAGGGTTCTGTGGGCTGGGCCCCCAGTGCATCTGCCTGGGATCTGCTGCCCACCTGGCCTGGAGTTGCTTTGTTTGGCCGTGTCCCTAGCCAGCTCCGCACTCTGGATGGACATCCCCGTGTCCCACCGGTCTCTGCAGCCATGGTGCAGGCTCCGGCCCTGGCCCTGACTGAGCTCGGTAAGCAGCTGCTCTCACCTGAGTCAGTGTCTGGACTGAGACTTAACATTGTCATCAGTAAGCGGTTCTGGCAACACATGCACATGGAGCACTGGGGTACACGAGCCGCTCCCCAGCCGTGGGCTGTGCGTGAGGATACCTGCTTTCCTGTCAGGGTGCTGTGTGTGTGCGCTGTATTTTAGTTTATTTTAATTTCATGAAATTTACCAAATACGAGGGTGCAGAAGACCCCGACAGCCAAGACTCAGATACCAGACGCCAGACTCAGATGCCAGAAAGATCCATGCAGCCAGCAGCTGTTTGCTAAGACCTACTCTGTTCTGAGCTAGGCTCTGTGGATTCAGCTGTGAACAAGACCTAGTGAAAGTCCAGTGGGGGCGACAGATCAGAGGTGAGGGCACGCCCTAGAAGGGCTCTTCTTTGGGCCCCAGGGCAGGACTCTGCTCTGCTGTCACACAGTAGGCCTGCAGGCATTCCCAGGCAGCTTTCTTCAGGCTAAACCCTCATACCTTAAGTCTCACGTAACTCTTTTTGTGTATTGTCTCACTCTTGGAGCTGGATTTTGACTGTGCTTTATTTCATGTCTCGCTCGTAATGTGTCTTGATATTTCCTCAGAACTTGACAGGCCCCTTCCTTGAAGTCTCCCTGTGGTCACTTTTGTTTCTGGCCTCCCTGCCTCTCCTTTATCTCTTAGACTGCAGTTCCGATCTCCACTCTCCGCCGCCACCGCCTTCCTGAATTGTTACCTTTCCTGTGAATCGGTTCTTGTCTCTGTCTTTCGCTTCCATCCTGCCCTTTTCTCCCAAGTCCCAAACCTGTGCTTGAAATCTGCTGGACAGTTTCTTTCTTCTGAGGCCCAGCTGCCTCCTCAGCCAGCTCTTGCTCACCTTCTCTAGGCGATGCTAGTGCCTGGATCTTCTCTCCCTCTGGGAATCCTCAGGAGTTGTCCTGAGGAGTCCCTGGCTCACTGTGCTCACCCCTGGCCACAGCCCCCTTGCCACTGGGCCTTCCAACCCCTCCTTACCCGCCGACATGGCTCCTTCGGCGGGCTTAGGAAACATGGCTGGGACTGCCTTGCTCACAACAGGAATGCGGGCCTCTGCGCCTCTCTGTGTCGGGCAGCAGCCTCGAGCTCCTTCCTCTGGTCCTGTCCATATGCTGTGGCCACACTGACCTCGCTTCAGCTGGGACGCCTCGTCCTGCACCTGCCGAAACCTGGCCCAGCTCTCGTGGCCTCTGTTCCGTTGGCTGCTCTGCAGCTCACAGGCCCCAGCCTCCACCTGGGAGGCCTGGAGACTGTGTTCTGGTTGTCATGCTCACCCTGCGCCCGCCGCAGTCCCTCACACTGAGCCCCGCGGTGGCCTGGGCCCAGTCCCCGGGGCAGGATGACTAGAACACTTTTCCTGCCCTCGAGGAGCTCACAGTCTAGTATGTCTCATCCCCTACTAGACTGAAGCTCCTTGAGGACAGGGATCGTCATACTCACCTCCGCATTGCCGCGGTCAGGGGTGTGCCTGTCGTGCAGTGGGGGCGCTCCTGCGAGCGTGCGCTTGGGCACTGAGGCATTGGCCCCCAGGCGGTCCCAGACGTGTCAGAGCTGAATGCGTTTGCCTCTAATCAATAGGTTTCTTCTTGTGCACTCTTAGCACGGGTAATTAAGCATTAGTTTATTCTAGGTTGCTCTGTTGTAGTTAGAAATGGTGTTTAACTTTGTATTTTGAACGTGTGTGAGTATCAAATAGACTAATAAGACATACAATATTGCTTGGATATGTATATGTAACAATGTATCACACTAAGACCTTTTATTGACTTTCAAATTTTTTATTCTATCCAAGATCGTAAAAATTAAATTTTGGATCACCCTTACCCATGTCTGTTAAAAGCGTTTCCCGAAACCCATCCTCGTTGCTACCTAAAGGGAAGTCCTGCCAGCAGGCTGAGGTTGCTGTGGGGCCCCACTTGCCTCGCCTGGGCTGCCTTTGTTTCCCATGGTGAGTGGGGCGGATGCTCTCGGGAGCACTGGTGGCAAGCAGCGTCACACAGTGCCTGGCTCGCACTCCCTGCATCTCGTGAGTCAGCTGTCCCGCTCACATCCTGCGTTCTTACTCACGCAGGCTCCTCGCTCCTGGACAGGAGTAGCCGTGGGTGGCCTGTTACAGGTGTAGTATTACAGTCAGATTTTGTGGTGATTAAAAAAGTGTTTAGCCATTTAAGTGGATCATTCCATCTAAAGAAGGTACTAGGCCCAGGAAGCCACAGCAAACAGATTTAGGGTTTGCCCTTGTGAAGCTTGTGTTCGAGGACGCTGGTTCCACAGTATTCTCCTTGACAAAGGTCTTTACACCATAAAAAAAGAATTGGCAGTTCTGTCTCAGTGTGGGGAAACATTTAAGTTACTGTGTAGTTTCTTAAATCCTTTTTAGATAAATGATGGCAATAAACAGTAAAATTATCAATTTAAAGTTTTTTGAAGTGTTGTATTTTTTAACTTCTTAATGATGTACAAAGATAGGAACATAGAACTAGGCCAAGAAGTAAGTAGCTCGCGGGGTGGGGTGTCCACAGTTGGGTATACCCTTAGAACCAGCAAGGAAGCAGGCCCCCTTACTCCCCCCACCGCCTTCCCCGCCATGGCAGCCCCTCCCCAGCTTGCTCGTTCCTGCCTGTGTGCGTGAGCGGCCGTGCTCGGGGTGTGTCTGTTGTCACAGCTGGTTTTGCCGCACACTTGGTTGCACGTTCTCCATGCTGTGCAGGCGTGTGCTTGGGGCTGTCTGGGCATCTCCCCTGCTGCTGGGATCGGATGCTTCCAGCTTGGGACTGTCGCCGTGCTGGTTCTGTCACTGCAGATCCGTGTCCTCAGGGAGCGGCTCGCAGGGCCGGCGGGCACATGTGCTCAGCCTCGGAGACGCTGCCTGATTTGCAGCATCCTGCTCCCAGCAGTGACTGCTGGCTCCAGTCAGAGGCTTCTTCGCACCTGGGAAGTTAGACCTTGTTTCTACGCCGCCACGTAACCATTTGAGGTTGGGTAAAAGAATGTACCTGGCCATCTCTGTCCTACAAGCATTGAGCTAGAAAGTGTCCCATTGGAATGTGCGCTGCATCAGCAGGTTGTTCATATTGTTCAGTTGAAAAGGAAAGAAGAAAGAGGCAACAAGTTTACTATTACAGGGGACTCCTGCCGCTGGTTTTCTCACATGTATTTTTGTGTCAGCGGCAGCGTCGCCGGCATGTGCCTCCTCCCATGCTCAAGGGCTTTGGAGGGTGAGTGTCACTGTGTTGCTCTGCAAGTACCTGCGCTGTCTGCAGCATGTTGTCACGGCGTCTGGAGAGTGTTGCATTCAGCAGCTGTGGCGTCTGGAATCGCAGATGTAATGGGAGCAGTTTAGGAAGTTGTCGACGAGACTGAGTCTCTCTTGTGGGCTTGGACTACGCTGAGTGCGGGCCTTCTGTGTGTTGGCTTAGGTCACAGGTACCTGCTGTGTCTCCAGGTGGGACCTGTTGTCAGGGCTGTTTTTACTGAAAACTGTCGTGTTTGTGTGCCTGTCGTGCAGAGCTGGCCTTTCAGCATCTGTTTGGACAGAGCAGCTGCATCCACGCGCCATGCCCCCGGCAATGACGCTGCTGCTCAGGACACAAACTGTACTGCAGTAGATGCCGCACCAGGCCAGCTGTGCTGTGTGCATGGGTGACCTGTGACATCACACACACACACACACACACACACACACGGACTCGCCTGTGTGTTTTGTGTTGTGCAGGTTACAGTTTAAGAAGAATTTTTGATAGGCTGAGGCTTTGGACAAGAAATGGCCTCTCTGAAGGAGCTAGGCCACAAGTGCTGCCCACTCTCTGGCCTTTAGGATTAAATGAGATGATCTGGAGTGTTTTCAGTGGCTCGTTGCGGTGCACTGTGCCAGGCATGCTGGCATGATGGTAAACGCGGCTTTTGCTGATGATCCAGAAGGAACCTGGGGCTCTTAGAGAACAGAAAAGTAATTTGAATCTACTAAGTGTAGTTTTTATTCAGATACCAAAATAGAAAGCACATCTCTTTGACATCTTACAGATGTCTTATGGAAACACAGATTAAAAATTTTTAATCTGGGGCCTCTCCTGGTGGTTCAGAAGTTGAGCGCTGGGCTGCGAAGCTGCCCGCAGCCTCTGCAGCGCTGGTTCAATCCCTGGCCGCCGGCGAGGGTCCCACATGGCACGCAGACCTCTCCTGCCGCGCCCGCTGCTCCCCTCAGCAGTGTGCTTCGTCAGTCTGCCTGTTCTGTTCCCC